CATGGTCCTTAAGAAAATACAATTAAAGAAAAAATAATAAATTTCTAGACAAGTTTCACTTTGCTAAATCTTTATTTCATAATGTGACTAGTCTGTCTACTCACATCAATGTGGGATCTTCTTTTATTTTCTTTCACTTAACTACCAGTGGATATTTAGCTATTTACCATTTTATTTTTCTTTTTGAGATTCTATGATTATGAAGACATAAGCATTAAAGTAATTTTAGTAAGAAAAATATGGCATTATCAGATTGAGCATAGTTGTCTCAAATTTCTACACAAGAGAAGAATGACTATTGAATTTATTTTCTTTTAAAAAGCCATTATTATACTGTAAAGCACAGCGAAATATCTACAAGATCTTGTGGTAGCTCACAGCGAAAAAAAATGTGACAATGAATATATGTGTGTTCATGTATAATTGAAAAATTGTGCTCTACACTGGAATTTGACACAACATTGTAAAATAACTATAACAACAAAAAATGTTTAAAAAAGCCATTATTATATGGATTTTCATGAAAATGCCAGTATGTAGCATACGATATTAATAAGAATCACATATATTTATGTACATAATAAAATATAATTGTCTTCATTCCAGGTATTTCTTATAAATTTGCACTGAGGTGTATTCTTCAATTTATAGCTATCTAAATGATATTTCCTGTCACTTCCTTGAGCTCATATTCATATAATTCTATTGGTAATAGACATCTGTTTACTAATGTACAAAGTTTATTTGAATATAAAATATCTGTGTATATTTTGTATTTTACATAAGGTACCATTAGCTATTGAATTACAATATCTCTTCTGTTACCTGACTGATGTCAAGTTAAATTGTGTGTGTGTGTGTGTGTGTGTTTAGCAGTTGATTCTGTCATTCTAAATATTCACCATTGTACTGTATCAGCTATGATTTGGCTCACCGTATCAAATCAATTGATGTTTTACAGTTCAATTCATAGACTGTAGAAAGCTCAGTGAACTATAATATAAAATAAATCTCATAAGTGTATCCTGTGAATTTAGATTTCATGGCAGGTATATGGAGAGGAAGTTTACTTAGAAGCAAAACAGGCATTGCAGCCCTTGTTTTTAAGTGTGACACTAAGATTTCCTCCATGTTAACTTCAATAGGACATTCTCAGGCTCTCACACTGCTGAACATATGTATTAAATACTAAATAAAATTGTAATTTGTTCCACTGCTTTTCTAGATACAATAATGTGACTTGTTGAAAAGTTTGTAGAGATCAGTAGGAGCTTATGGCATGGAATATAAAATCACAAGTATAACTAGCTAAACAAAATTATTAACCAGAGTACACACATTTATTTAAGAAGCAGACATTAAGGAGTTAACTTGTTTTATTATAAAAAAAAATGACAGATGTGAAAATCGTCATGGTGAAGAAGAGAATGTTGTATTCAGTTATTTTATTCTTTTCCAAAGGGGAAAGAAAACATGGTGAAAGGTTAACAAATACTGTAAGACTGCAATTTCTGGATGAACAGGCTTAGGGGCAACATTTAGGCACTATCCATTATTGTGTAAAATTAGACATTCTTCCAAGATATTATATTCTAGTGATCTCAGTAAGTTTTCCTATTATGTCCCTAAGCCTATATCAGCATTTTATTGTTTTATTTGAAAACATTAATATATCAGCCTTCCAGAAATCAACTTCCAAAAGTTTTCTGTAAATTAATATTGAATTCATATGAATAACTACACTCATAAATAAACAATTTGAAAATATCATACAATATATTAAAATATTAAAGTATTACTTTATTTGTTGGATAGAGGAAAATTTAATGAACAGATATAAAATGTATATGTAGAGATATAGATACATGCAAAATGTATCACATAAGGTCTGTCGATTATACCAAACATTCCTATATTCAAACTCTTTTAACCCTCTTAGAAACCTTTTAAGATGTAATTCTTGTAGGCTGAATAGCATCCCCTCCAAAGATAGCCAGCTACATCCTATTCCTAGAAGCTGCCATTATATTACACTACATGGCAAAAGTGACTTTGCAGATGTAATTAAGTTGAGAATCTTGTGATGAGAAGATTATCCAGGTGGCACAAGTGTAATCACAAGGTTATTTATGAGGGGGAGGGTAAGAGTCAGAGTCAGACAAAGAGATGGGGTAACAGGAGCAGAGACAGAGGAAGAAGGAAAGGGGAAGGAGAGAGAGTGGGAGAGGAAGAGAAAGAAGAAAGAAGAAAGAGAGAGACAGAGATTTGAAAATGCTTTCCTGGAAGA